GTGCAAGACAACATGTAGTCCAGTGGGTTCACAAAGTTTGTCTTGTAACTGTATATGTCATAGTGTTCTTCATAGTGGTCAAATAGCTTTCCTTATCACAAGGTAGTAAAATGTTATCAAAGCCAAAGCTCCCTTGTCATACACTGGAAAAAATCAACTATGTTACTGAAAGTTAGTCAGCAGTAATAACTAAATATGCTATAGATATGAAATAAAGATTTGAGCATATTAACAATATTACTGTTAAACAGTCATCATCTTATTGTGTTACTTTCAGAAACAACTAATGGTACACATACATAATTACTCCAAGTAGTAGGGCTGTGCGATATGACCAAAATCTCATATCCCGATATAAGATATTTATCGTCCCAACAACGATATATATCACAAAAATCTCAACAGGATCTTGAGCTTTATTGTGAAATGTTTATGTGGAAAATAAACAAGCAGATGACAGAACCATGCAATGGTTTTACCATCGTTGTTGCTAACGTCAACGCATAAAAACAGTCGCTTGATCGTCTGTAGTGTGGTTATATTAAATATAAGAGAAAGAGAGAAATTCTACAGTGACCATCAAAACAATGAAAAAATATTGCCATAAACAGATTATTTTGCGACACCACGAAACAAACGATAGTGTAATATGTAATGATAGACGTTTTCATATCGTCATCCGATATATATCGTTATATCGAACAGCCCTACCATGTACAACAATTTCACCATCTTATTACTAGAGGCAAAACACAGCTTACTAGTAAGACAGTTGTCATCAGGTACTGAAGTGATCACACTGGAGCCTCCATCATTACCTGCAGGTAACTTAACACAACAGGGAAAAATCAACTTTATGTCCTCGGTATTTAAATTGATTGTTTTAATTAAGAGTATTTTTATTTGACTGAAACATTTTGTTTACCATTCTTCCCTGGTTCATTTTAGTCATTGATATAAAATCACCTGTAACAAAAGAAAAACTCAACAAAATAAAAACCATAATACATGGATTGATAGTTTTGCAATGCTGCCTGACAGCTAAATGTATACAATACCTGGTGATGTTGCCTTTGTCCTACACATAAAGAAAGAAAATGTTTAAAAAAAATTTGAAAAAGCTGTATGCATTACATTACACAAGAAAAAAGTGTGTTTATTGTAGAGAATTAAAAAACAATATTATGAAACATATTTATTAGGCGTCCTGCCCTCAAGCAAGGCATTTGATTCACCACTGCTCCAGTGATTCTGTTCCTTACCTGCTTCGAGAACATGTTTCTGAAAAGGTAGTGGCAAAGAAATGTCTGATCAGCATCTGATTAGTTTTAAAGTCACAGGTTCATTTATAACTATGAAACTGATAACATTTTTTACACGTGTATAAATTAGGCATGATGAACTTTTTCTGCTTGAACTTTTTTTCTTCTTCAGAATAAGCTGATCTTTTTAATGTACAATTATTATTATTATATATTTAATGCAGCTATGAAAAATGTATCACTATATTACAAAAAGTTCATGAGTTCCAGGTTCTCAAAGTGGGGGTGAATCCCTGTGAGCCCTCACAATGTTGTACTATAACTACAGGAAATAGCCACATTGATTTTTTTCAGAGCAAATTTTTCATTTGCTTGTTCATGGCATAGATGAAGTGAAATAATCATTGGTACCATGGGCTTTTTATCTGTTTTCTGATCATTCAAAAGATAATTTTTTAAAATGCATATTTTGGTTAAACTTTCAAAGGTAATATTATCTTATTTTTGGTTGACAGGCAGATTCTATCTCTAAAAAACATAAACATAAAAAGTTGTATGCTTTCATATGTGCCCTCACCACTTCTTCTTTTGAACGTGAGAAGCCCCAGCACCAGTAGGATGACACCCATGGTTACTCCCAATCCAGTCACAGCTACTGCCAACTTCCATATCGATGCTTCTGCTTTGAAAGCCAAACAAGAGTTTCACTTCTAACTCAAAACCAAAACAATTAAAAGTAGACACAGTGGGTCCAGTCAAACTGCTTAAAAAAAACTGTGAGACATTAATACATTATTATTATTATTTTTATTAATTCTATTAATAACCATAATGCCATGTACAAAGAGAAAGAGTTGAAGACATTGTTGTTTACCTACATGATTGTAATATTTTTGAAGAGGAGTTTACTCTACTGTCAGGCTGGTGTGCCTGACCCACTAAAATGAAACAGAAACATTGAGAAGTTGTGAAACTCATGTGATAACATCTTTTAAATGTCATTTTTCTTTCAGTTCTTTTAAAAGCAGAGGTCACACTAATAGCAGTTCAGGATAAGCACTAACTGATCCTTTAGGATATAAATATATGATAAATATTATGTTATATACACTATATCACCAAAAGTTTTATTTATATTGTGTTAAATTGCAACAAGAGTACCTCTATAGGATGCCCCTAATCTAGACATGAAATCTCCTCGCTACTGAATATTCCACAGTCTGTTCGTGGTATTATAACAAAATGGAAACAACTGGGAATGACAGCAAAGTGGTAGGTCACATAAAATCAGAAATTTGGGTCAGCAAATGCTCCCCCTGTGCTGTGTGCAGTTTGTGTAGTTTTGTTTCCCCTTGTCTCGTTAGGTCTGAGTTGTCCCAGTTGTGTTCCCACCTGTTCCCCATCCCACAGCCACCCCCATCCTCGTGTGGCTGTGGCTCAGGTGGTAGAGCAGATCAGCTACTGATTGGAAGGTTGGTGGTTCGATTCCCGGCTCCTCCAGTCTGCATGCCAAAGATCCTTGGCCAAGATACTAACCCCAAGTTGCCCTCCGATGCGTTCATCGGAGTATGAATGTAGTTTAGTTGAGAAGTGCTTGGGTGAATGAGGCAGGTTGTATAGAGCGCTTTGAGTACTCCGGGAGAGTAGAGAAGCGCTATATAAGAATCAGTCCATTTACTTTCATTATCCTTCCATATTTTAAGTCCTTTGGCTTCCTCTGTTCAGGGTCATGTCATCTGTTGGCTTTTGTGCGATGTCTCATGTTCCAGGTATCTTTGTATCCAGACCAGGTTTCATGTTTAGGGTTTTTCATGTTTATTTTTAGTTTCCCAGTTTAGGTTATGGTTTATTCCTGTCTTTGTTTGCCTTGTTTTGTATTTTTCCATCAGCCATATTAAATAGCTCACTTTTTGTTAATTCAAGTTTTGTTCCACGTTCCTTTGTGTTTGCATTTGGGTCCACTATACATTTTGAAAATTTTCATTCTTCTATCTTTGTGAGAACAGTTTGTGGATGTCCCTTTCCTGTTCCAACATGACCATGACCATAAAGATTTGGATGGGTGAGTTTGGTTTGGAATGACTTGACTGGCCTGCACAGAGTCTTGACCTAAACCTGACTGAACACCTTTTGGAGGAATTAAAGTAGAGATTGCAGGCCGGGCCTTTTTGTCCAGCAGAAGTGTCCGAGCTCAAAATGTGCTAATGGAAGAATGGAAGTTCCCATAAATACATCCCTAAACCTTGCAGAAAGCTTTCCTAAAAGAGTTAAAGCTGTTATGGCTGCAAACAGTGGGCCAACTTCATTTTAAACCCTATGGTGTGAAAAATCACTCCACAGGATTTAAAATGATTAAGAATGGGATGGCACTCCAGTTCATATGCATGTGAAGGCACTTTTGGTAATCACAAAAAGTTAATTCTGTTAATGTTGATGTAACGTTTTCAGTGGGAGAAACTTTTCATCACTCATTCAAATGACCCTGTATAATGACTGAAAACAGCACCACTGACTAACAATGTGCCGTGAGATAAGTTTCACTTTTGATAATATAGTGTATGTTACCATTTTGTTTAAAAAGAAAAAATAGATACCTGAGGTAGCAGTGGCACGGGTGGAAGTATGAGACCAAGTAAAAGTTGGACCTGGTGAAAAACTTTTTGCTTTTGAAATAACAGATAAAACAGATGACTTTTATAATATTTTTTTTTATATATGTACAGTTTAACTGTGCATTGTCTTACCTTTGACTGTAGTAATAGTCATTGTAGCATTAGTCTTGTATGAATCTGTTTAGAAAAAAAAATATTTGGATCAAAATTTCAAAAAGCTGACTGAGGTTGTTAGGTTCAGTGTATTTGCACAGTTAGTTTGAAATAACATACTGCAATAGTTGATTCATGTGTTAGCTTATTTTTTTGAGTTGGTTTGCATTAATGTAGAAATATATTTGTATCAATATTTTACAATTCTACTGTCCCTGCAGTTACCTGAAGGAGAATTCACAGACGTGGTAGGACTGGAAGCACTAGGAGTACTGAGACTCGAATCTGTTTCAAAAAATGTACAAAAAATGAGTTTCTTTAAAGAAGTTGTGTGTGTGATGCTGTTCTGGATTATATTTCGATGTATTGTATTTCCTACCTGTGGCCAGACTAAATGCCATTTTTGCGCTGGTCCTTCTTGATTCTCTTCCCACAATAACTACAGTTTAAAAAAAGAACTATGATCATGAATATTCAAAATAAAGAATATTAAACACACAAAATATCTACAGATAAAACATATCTGGTCATTTGCATCAGTGTTGGAGGGTTTGTGACCAAGTGCCAGCAAAATTAGTAACTTCATTTCAACATCAGCTACAGCCCTGGTTACAAAGTACTGCCATTTATTTAAGATGCTGAACATGGTGAATATTTACTGTTCCTGATGAACATCAGAATTTTAGAGTTAGAGTTGAGATTTTTTAACATTCTTAGAATTGAATCAGACATAAATAAAACAAGGACATTTCAATTTATCTTCACATTATTGATGCACTCGGTCTCACTTGTTGTACTGTCTCGTGAGGTTATATACTGAGTTGTTTTGACAGGAGTGTTCACACCAGTTGTAGGGTTTAGATTACGAGTACCCAATCCTTTATGATAGAAAAATATCAAATAAATACTATAATGTCACATATGTTACTATTCTCTGTAAAGAAATTCCTGCTTCTTTTTTTTCTTTACATTATTCAACCCAAGTAAAGGGAATGAAATGCCAAGTATTTGAATTGTTACACATTGTTTCAGTCTTCAGAATATTTAGTTTGCAAAATAATATATAACAGAAAAATTAAATGTCTAATTTTTAATTTGGGCAGATTTACATTATCACAGAAAAAATATTTACTACTTTACTAACACCACAGCAGTAATTTATTTACCTGTTATCGAGTTCACTGAAGTGGAAGTTGAAGCACTGAGTTTGCTGAGACTTGATTCTGTTTCATAAATGGATAATAAAATGTTAAAGACATTTAAAAGAAGTGATGTGTGATGATGCTCTGGGTTGTTAGTTAAGTGTACTGCATGTCCTACCTGTGGTCATGATAGATGACGGTTTGTTGATCTTTGGTGATTCACTTTCCAGAATAGCTGCAGTAAAAGGAAATGGGTTTGTGTACAAATAAAGGTTTTGTTATTTATGCAATCAATTCAAAAGTGATTGAAACGTTTTGAAACCACATTTACTATTTTATTAAATGTCACATCTGTCCCAATGGTAGTGTCAGGTGGCCCTGAGATAATGAATGCAAACAAGTTTAGGCATTAAGGCAAAATTTTACTTGAGATGTTTAGTGAAATGTGAAATGCTAACAAAATGTGTTCTGTTTAAATTGCTCACTTTAAGTCCTGTTCTGATAACTTTCACTTGATTTTATAAAGGACAACCCGATGAATTGTGAAAACATACTTGTACACTGTAGACTCTTCTGCTAATGAAAGTTTTTTGTTCACCTAAATACAATATCAAATTTATTTTAGGTTTAAAAATATTGGACCAACTGTAAATGTGGAAAAGAAATGTTTTAGCTGTCTTTCAGTTCTGTCCTTCTTATTTTATTTTTTTATTCTTTAGACACAATTATAGTTTTTAAAAAAGTAACCTTTCAACAAATCTTTCAAAGGTTGGTATATTTTAAAAGTTTATTGGTTTGTTTGCCTAACAAACTAAGTATCATGAGCAGGGTCATGTGTACTCCCACACTCAGATACTAGAGTTGCATCAGGAAGTGTTTCCAGTTATAGAAATTCATCCCACACCAAAAATGTTATTTTTAACCTCATAAGGTGTATTGTATTGTAATTTGGTAGTCAGAAAAATTCCAATTGCCTAAATTCAGTACTTAATAAATGTAACAATAATGACAACAATAAATGAATCCACAATGATTGTTAACACACAAAGACATTTGAACATGTCATGTTAACAACCTGGAAAGTGCTGGCTGCAT